TCCCTCCCCCCTCCTTCAACGGAAACCCTGGGGCCGCCACTGGCAAGTGCTCATTAATAGATAGGTGCTGCGGTAAAATCAAAGCGACCAGTTCTGCTCAAGAAGATAAATGTAGTAATTTTCTGACAGGCAATATGCAGTAAAATTTTAACTTACGGAGAGTGCATCTTGAATGGCTACCATTATACATTATTGACATGTTCAAGAAACTCACAACTCCTGCTTTCTCCAGAAGCAACTTCAGCTAGGTATCTATAGTAGTCACCCTTCATCTTCAGATAAAAAACCTTCGACTCAGGATTACCGGCTTTGGGAATAAGATATTTGTCCAAAAGATTCTAAAAACTTTTCTTCTCTACTAGTACTAAATGCAGTCAAAATTAGAGAATGATGACCCACAAGAACATCCTGACAAATATCTCGTAGCTCCTTTTCGATTTTTTCGCGATACTCCTTTGCCATTTGCTGCTTCTTCTCGGAACCCTCAGTTTTCTGCTCAATCGAAGAGATGACCCTCCAGCTCGAGCGACGAGCTCCCACTACATTTTTATACGCAACGGAAAGGAGGTTGCGTTCTTCATTCGAAAGTTCCGCATCTAGCTCCGTAACCTTCTTCATAGACTGAGCCATATCGTCGTAGCGCTCAGCCTAAACACAGGAACGCATGCAATGGTGGGATCGAGATGAAATTCACATACAGAAACGAAGTAAAGTTATAACCTGCTCTGCTAGCTTAGCTTTTTGCACGAGCTCATCCTTACTTTCAGCCATGTCTGCTAGCAGCTAGCTCGTTTGCTACTGGAATTTCTATATATATAATTGTTCGGTATGAAATTGGGAAGACAGCACAGTACTAGATTTTTTGCTTGTTGCATTATAAGGGGAAGTCACGGAGGGGTGGGACAGTATGTAACCGGTAGCTACCTAGTTTCAAACGGCCAAAACTCAAAAGCAATAAAAGTACAAAGGCAATAGGCTCAGGCGAGTCAAACACATAATCAAGAGCGAAACAGTCAGGTAACGGATTTTGGTTGAATTAAGCTATAATGGTCAACGAAGACGAAACTCGCAGCCCAGCATTTTCAATTTGAATGATATACATTTTCGATGAGACAAAAATTCTACTATCCATCTAAAATCTATTTTTTCATTTTCGTTATCAACACTTCAAGCATTTATATCAAATCTCTAATCTTTGCGTCCGTTTCGTTATTCGTAAAAGGATGAATGACTTCAGAAAAACGGTTCGCCATTGGGAGTCTTCCGACGACCATCCAAAAAAGGATAGAGTTATAGCTTGACAAAACGCTTTTTGTCAAACTTAGTAATAGTAAGGTGTGTCGAGTAGATATGATATTATATTATTTGATATGATCAGCATGTAGAATCACCACTCTAGACCGAATTCCAGCCAAATGTCATATTGCCCACCTGCCGTATACCTACTGTAACTCCGCAGAAAAGTCACAAAACGGAAGGTGAGCATGGTAATTGTGACCAGCCCCC